GTACTGATACAGAACCCAAAGATTCATCATAAAAACCAGCTGTTTCACCTGGCCCCATTCAAATTACTTTATACAATTTCACATTTTCACAAATTTAAACTGATTTTAAAAACTGTATCTTGTAGATGGCAGTAACAGTTCCTCAGAAACTTTTATATATTTTTACCAGCCTACGTGACAGCATATCCTAGAAGATATCAATATCCTGTTATCCCAAGCTTCAGTCGAAACTGTGTTGCTGTAGCTTCCATTCACCATACGTGTTACATGTCCAATTCATTGCACTCGTCTTGATTTAATTATCCTAAAAATAGTGATCAATGGATACAGATAGGATAAACCTCTCTTTTAATAAGTAGTCATGAGTAATGGCACTGATTGCATTAATCTCATTGTCTCTGACATATGACATTGTGTCAGCAAGTCCATTCTAGATGATCAAGGTTGTTTACTCGTTTGCTCATGGTGCAACATCCAATGTTAATCTTGACCTCATTTGAAATATTGTTTAGTCTGGTGAATTTTTAATTGCATGTATTTTTTTTAATATTAAAGAAATTGAGCCAGTTTTTAAGACTAAATATACAGCGTCATCTGCAGTGGCAGAGGTGACACAGTTTTGAGTTGAATTAAAATGTATCAGTACAGACAGGCATGAAATGTGCCTGAAAGTTACATACATAGAAGTCGTGGTAAGTCCATTGTAAGAAAGCCAAATATTCTGAAAATGGCTATGTGTGAAATGCTGTCTTCTATAATCATCCATCTGCCAGGGCAGTTCCTTTGAACCTCTCACCTCCATGTTTTTCAGACATTGACATGCCCTCTACACCTTTTTTAAATATAGTCATTATTTCAGGTATAACTGTTTTTATTAATTTTGTCTGAAGGACATTTTGCTGCCTTTTTGACATTTTTTTGAACCAGACAGTTAAAATATGTTAAAAAAATTATAACGTAGGTGTATTCAGCACTGGCGTTAAGAAAAAGTGGAGCAAACTGGAAATGCACTACACAGTATGTATGGTTGATTCAGTAGTCACATTAGAGGGACATGATGTATATCTGCGGTTGCTCTTGAAAGGGTTAGTTAGTTAGTTATTGGAGAGGGTGGGTTAAAGGGTTAAAGTAGTCTATGATTGGAAACTTCCCAGTTTACTGTTTGTACGTCCACTACTGTCATAAAAAATTTTACAACTGTGGTTGAAGCTCCGGTATCAAATTAAGATTGTTACTATCACTTTCTGTAGACGTGTTTGTAACATTATTTCATTGTAGTGACTGCGTAAACATCAAGGAACCCAGTGTGGTTTAACTTAATTGTGAAATATGCTGTTTCTGGTGATGCAGAATATTTTCCGTGTTCACAATCACATTTATATTTTTATTTATCCTTTTCAAGCGTTTAAATGTCCAGCAATTTTAAATAATAGCTAATATAAAATATTTAATATTTTTGTTAGAATATTGTAGTAACTGTCAGCATAAATTTTACAGTTTCCCTTGTCTTCCAAATTCAGTGATATTTTGCTATATGAGAGATGAATTTCTCAGTGCTGAATACTACAACTGAGGTATTCCAGGATGTGTCACTGTGTAGTCCGGTAGATGGTTACCAGTATTTTGGAGCAAAATACTGCTGCAGTCTTCAGAGTAGGAGTCTTTTTTGTTCCTGCATCCTTAGTTAATTTTTCTGTTTGTGTGTTGTCTGCTATTATTAATTTTGTCTTCAGAAATATGGAGCCCCATATAACACACTGCTTTGATCAGTAAAAAATAGTTACCCCTGTATTGTAGGTACCACAAGGGTACTTGAGGCGTGGAGATAAAGTTCCATATATTCTAGACCTAGACCCCTGGGGTTGTCTTGCAGCGGTACCCATCACATGGTGTGGCAGGGAGGGGTCAAACAGTTGTTTCGGTGAAGAGAAAAATCCCATCTCTTCTACAGGGGTTTGAACCCCTGTTGTTGAGCTCATTTCAACGAAAATAATATTACTGTGGATGAGCAGGACCTTGCTACACCTGACATTCTCTTGTGAGAATTCCAGCAGCGAGAGATGCAAAATGCGGTATGGAACAAAGATTGAAGGCATGTGCAAGGTTTTCTTCCTGAACAGTAAGTGTCAGTCGTAGTACGTGATCATTATCTTCAGCTAAGTTGAAAGTATAGTGAGGTTATCTCATGTTCAGTGACGCATTCCATCCTGCTGCACTGGCTGTCAGTTTCGCTCTGATTCGCATAACTTCCACTGTTTGGTTTATTTTACAAAAATGTATCGGTTGCTATGTTTATTCAGCGTCAGATAAAATGCTGTGTGAATTAATCGGGAAGGATACGGCCTATGTAAAGATACTGTGCCGGCCTTCTAGAGGGGTTTATATCAACTACGAAGAACTTCACGAATTATTCATAATGTCAACACATCGAGGGAGGTGAATGATAAAATCAAGTCTGCTTCATTTCTGGGAAAATAACAGAATGCGCGCTAGGCAACCGGGTTCGGTTCTCGGAACGAACACTGGGTTTCGCCATTACGTCTAAGATTGTTTCTGTGACACTGGGAAGGATATCCGCAGGGGTAAAGTGACAGATGCTGATGGCTCACCTCCACATAATGCAGAGGTTAGACTGTATGGAGATTTATCTCCATATCACTAGATACCAATTACCGACTACAGTTTCTAGAGCGTCTTAAATAAACTACGAATGAATCAAGAACACGACATCCTTACTAATCTAAAAGTAAGGTAAACGATGTAATTCAATAAATGCACTCTTTGAACCATACCGAATTTGGATTTATGAATTCATGCATGCCGTTAAGATAAAGCACAGAAACTCATAAAACAGACACTACTAACGACGCTGATCTGGAAGTGAATGCAGTGACCTGAGTAAGTTAAGGCGTCATCACTAGAATTCGGGACAAAATCGTACGACAGTTAACTTATCCTTAGACAATGCGGCGCAGTTTAATTGTTTTTTGAACAACATTAACGAATCAAAATTAGATCCTGAATAAATTGTGAGTAAATTAAATTTTGAAGACTGCTTGCTACTATTCGGTTCCAAGACTTTAGCTTCCAGTCTTGTATCTAAAAGCTGTAGATTAAAATGCACATGACTATGCATGTAAAAATACGTCCCTCGCCCTAAGGGAAGAACTTAGATTGAGTGTGAGGGGAGCACTGAGCAGAACATTTTGATCTAAAGGTAGGGAAGTAACAGGGGGTTGACGAAAATTACATGATGAGGAGCTTCATAATGTTTACTCTTCAGCAAACAAGGGTTATCGAATCAATGTAGGTCAGATTTTTTTTTATTTATTAAGCAATCAGAATCTACAATTCTATAAGCTAGTTTGCTGGCGTAAGAGCTGTGATGCTCTTTAATGACGTGGTGAGTCCCTTCCCCAGTGGGAGGTTCCTCATTAGTTTTCTTTTAGGTCAGCTGGCCAGTGTCTTCGGAGTCTTCGATTGTGCTGCGGTTCAACGAGTGGCTGTAGGATGTCGTTTGGGTGATTTGCTAGTTTGTTGTGGTGTGAGGTACTTTTCTCTCTAATGACGTCCTTGATGTATGGTATATTTAGGTCTGTATNGTATTCAACGCTTGGAGACTGTGGGATAATGTTATTATACAGTCTTACTCGTTGGCAATGCTCTCGCCTAAGCGTGAAGTTCACTTGGACAGATTTAGTCTCGTTTATTTTAATTTTCCATTTGCGTAGCCATGCTTGTATTTGGTTTAAGTGGTTTTGTAGGATACTGGTGGCCTTTGCTGGATCTGCATGGGTTGCTAGGTGGTGTTTTCATCGGTTGGTATGTCCGCCGTATATGGGAGGTATAAAATGTACATCAGATGAACAGGAAATGTAGCACTCATGGGAGAGAGACGAAAAAGTTATAAAATTTTAGTCGGGGAACCTGACGTGTAGAGACCATCTCGACCCAGAGGGGAGGTTCCAATAAAACTGGAAAATTGTAACTAGCTGAACAATGTCAACTTCTCAAGAGAGAAATTTTTGTACGCATTAGTTGAAACCTATTACGGCTGCTCGAATTAACTTTAGGTTACGTGAAACCGAAATTTCACTAACTACTTCGAATTTCGAACTCTTTAAAACTCGATTTTGTTTGTTTTAATTACAACATCTTATCTGTATGGACCCGAGATTTTATATGAATTGTTATATGGATGAATGTTAAACTTTGAGATAATAGTCATCGCAAGCCGTAACGGAGTTAAGCCACGTAAGTGCAGTCTATTTCAGCCACTGCTTTCACGTATTACAAATCTTTGTTTCACTGCTGCACGGCATTTCGGGAACCTGTGGTTTTCCGTTCGACGAAGACATTGAAACCGTTTATTTCTGTATGCATGGAATTTTATTTCTGAAGACTGAATTTTTACTTCTTATGAAATATCCTAATTTCGTTTGTCTTCGAGAAGAGCATGCTTTGCTCTTTTTTTTTCGTCACAGATCCATTTGTGTAATTAGCAGTTCCATTAGCCATGTTTCCTTATCCAAATTTCACTGCCATGAAGGAAGTGCAATTAGCAGTTCCATTAGCCATGTTTCCTTATCCAAATTTTACTGTCATGGAGGAAGTGCAAGTAGCAGTTCCATTAGCCATGTTTCCTTATCCAAATTTCACTGCCATGAAGGAAGTGCAATTAGCAGTTCCATTAGCCATGTTTCCTTATCCAAATTTCACTGCCATGAAGGAAGTGCAATTAGCAGTTCCACTAGCCATGTTTCCTTATCAAAATTTCACCGCCATGAAGGAGGAATAAAGGAACTATAGTCCCAGTGTTTCCACTAATGTTGTGATTTTGCAATACGTATCTTTCTGTTCTTGATACGATAATACACAGTCCCGGTATTTAAAGGTGTTTACTTACCGTAACATTATCAAGTATAGTTTTGCGTGTTACTGGTTCTGTATCTGAAACAAGTAAATTGGAAAAGTTTTAAAATGTAGCCATTGTCAGAACAATTCGCTTCCTGACATTAAGTCAAGGACGTCCACATTCCACCGTGACATGACGTTCAGTTGTGCTCTGTCTGCCGTCGCGATAGCTACTGCACTCCACTGACTCGAGGTAAAATTCTTTATTGCTTAAGCTTAGTTTATAACGTATAGTACGAGGTCTCTGAGTGTCTGAATAATTCGTAATTACATTGAAATATGTTTCAATATCGTTATCATGATAAAATAAACATGTATGACGCAAGGAACTAATAAATACTTGTAAGATTTGAGGCTTTCACGGCGGTGACTATGAAGAAAGCAGTNACTTGATGGTGTACCGCATTCCGTGGAAAGGTAAGGGTAAATTGTTCCTGTGCTTAACTAATTAAGCACTATTCCATGAAGAATATGCGGGAGTGGATGTATAGATCCAAGAGTTCTTGACATCGGCACTAGTTTGAGGTAAGTGGTCAGCTTCACACCCCGGTCGCTTTCCCCTTGAGGAAAGAGCCCCTGATACCCGTTGGATGGGAGGCTGGTTGGACCCCAGAACCGGTCTGGACGACGTGAAGACGAGAAAAATCTCGTCTCTACAGGTAACCGTACCCTGACCTCTCGGTGTCCAGTCGGTAGCCAGTCGCTACACCGACTGCGTTCCGTGGAAATTTAGTAGTTAATTACTTAGCTGGATAATAAGCTTCTCCAAAGTAAACAACCATAAAGTTCATTATAAATGCTACTAAAGACCACATCCCGAGCCAGTTATATATAGACTATACTTCCAAAATCTTCTCGCATAAGATTAATTTTAATATTATCCTGCCAAAGCCTAGGTCTCTCATATGATTTCTTTCTATTAGGTTCTCCAACTAATTTTTCCGTTCATGCTTCGTAAATTAATCATCCTAACAGTCCAAGTAAGGTTGTTCGTGTGACATTTCGTGTCGTGGTATCATTTTATTTGCAAGTTCCCACGAAAATACTTGTAGATCACGTGGGAGGCCTAGAAAGATATTGAAGTGCCCATAATAGCCGTGAAAATCACACAGCCTTCTATTTAGTAAGTTCAAAACCTCTTCCTTTGTTGACAATTATGATTATTTAGCAATTTGGCGACGCTTTCTCAACTGCATTGATTAGATACGTATTTTCGAATGGCAGAATGAATGCGAGTGATGAATTGAAGAACACGTGAGAAGAAACAATCTGTTATATTTTAAGGTATTTTCCAACGTTTTCCTGGAATTGCTGTGGAAATTCACGAAAAGTGGCATGTGATACACCCAGTTTCCAGATCTAAATTCGAAACCAGGATCTCCTTAATTACAAGATGATAATAATAATAAGGGACCAGGATAGCGCAGTCGGTATAGCGATTGGCTATGGGCCGGACAGATTTCGAGTCCCGGTAGGATAAAAATTTTCTCTTCTCCACGTCGTCCAGGCCGGCACTGGGGCCCACCTACCCTCCTACCCAATGGGTACCGGGGGTAAAGCGGCAGGGGCGTGAAGCTGATTACTCACCTCCTACTAATGCCGAGGTAAAGAAAATGTGGATCTATACATCCACTCCTCCATACTCCTTCACAGCGTAGTGCTTAATTAGATAAGCACAGACAACTTTACCTTTTACCAATAGTTCAATTGCGACTTTCAGGTTTTCCTGGTAGTAACGGTGACCGGAGCGTGAAGGTGACCACCTATCTTTATCAAGTGACGGGTTAATGAATGTGTGTAAATTATTTCCGTGCCTCGTTGAAACTTTATTGCAAGGTACATAATCACGGAGATAGCACCTAATTTTAATATGAGATACGATAATTGAATACTTGCGTAACCACTAGAAGAAGTTTGCCTTTGGAAATGGAAGGTAATGCAATTAGTCAACGTTACTAAGTAAAAGTATTTGGTTTGACGAAATGAAAACAAGGTTCTAGATAGGCTTCTGCTACAGGATGTGCAGTTTATCATTAGACCGGTTTCAGCAGCAAACACGGCACCCTTCTCGCAAGGACCCGCTTCAGTAGCCGATAATTCACGACCCACTGTGGAGCTGTCGTTTAAATAAACATATTTCTTAGAAGAGGCACGCAGTGACAACACTCTGCTTCTAAGGATACCTCACATGAATTTTATCTTATGTTACTTAGCAGTTAACTCAATTATGTAAAAGTAAAGCTAGCCCTGTAACAGGCCATGAAGGCCCATAGGATTGTGAGACGTTGATGTTCCCACATTATCTAGACAATCGGCTCAAAGATGGCGGTAAGGTTGTCAGCCTTACGCGTCGGCCGCGCTTTACTCCCCAGGAAAATTATTTNCGGAAGGATTAGATCAGCTGAAAAAAATCCAATGACCTCATCGGGACTTGAACCCGCGATCTTCCGGTTTGTAGCATAGTGCCTCAACTAACTACTCTACTGCGTGCCCCAACTCAATTATGTAGGCATTTTTTTATTGCTAGTGGGGTGGGACTGAGTCCATTGTATTGCGGCCACTTCTGGCCTAGAGTACCAGCCCCAGATGATAGGTGAGGGTGATTGTGGGGCAATTGGTGGAATGAAGATTGGCAGGGGAAACTGAAGTACTCGGAGAAAAGCTGTCACAGCGCCACTTTGTCCACCAAAAATCCCACTTCACCAGACCCGGGATCAAACCTGGGCCTCCGCGGTGGGAAGCCAGCGACTAACCGCTTGAGTTATGGCGCGGCCTTATATAGGCATTTAATTCAATTTCAGTAGAATTTAATTTCCGAAACTAAAAAAAACAAAACTCCGTGGTTTTAGTTCTCAAGCGAACTATACCGACCGAGCGAACGCCGCTTGTCAGTGAAGTTAGTGCCAACACTAGGGGATAGAGGGTATTGCGTGGTGAGCGCAACGAATCCCAATGGCCTTTAATTTCGGTTTTCTAGATCGGTGCCGCTATTTCCCTGAAATAGCACCTCAATTATCATTTAATTTCCGATTCACAATGAATTGCGAAACTGTATTATTAAATGCATTTGGAACTGTTACAAACAAGACATGGGTTTCAGTTCGAGGGATAAAAGCTGTTTAAAAATTGGTAGATAAATCCGAATTCTAATATCAAAGTTAGCTACTAAGCTTTCTCTTTTGCAGGAAGATATCTCTTGCACATCACAGAGAGATATTCTGGTATGGAATGATTTTTATTCTCAAAACTTCACCACAATTATTTGTTTACATTATTTCTCAAGAGACCGTACCTGTCACACTGGTAGTTAAAATGACATTTTAATACTGATAAAAGATTGTAAAGCACAATTCAAAGAATTTGATTTGTTTCATCCTGGTCCGTCACACTAACAATTAAAAAGACAAAACAACTCCGTCCAGTGTGACTATTTAAGTTTTACTACTTGAAAACTTAGCACCCTTACATGTTCCGAGTTTTACGCATCATCTGCAGAGGGAACATCGATACTTATTTGGAAACTACTATCACAATAGGTGTTCTGAATGCTAAATTACATACACACACTGCCTGGAATACACAATATACATAAGATCCTATTTTTCACAATCACAGTATCTTTCTTGGTTAAAGTTTTTAAATTTTTAAAAGTTTGTTGTTTAAGATAAAATTTATAAACCAAGTAGGTTCGTGTCACTTCTCCTATCTTCTTTCTTGAAAATAACACAGCAAACCACGAACAAACACGGACAACGCTAAGAATCTCCTTCTCAAGATAGACAGACGGCACAATTTCAGCCCCCTTCAAGAAAGAAACTATACCGACCGAGCGACCGCCGCTTGTGGGCGAAGTTATTGCCAACTTCTGCGGATAGAGGGTGTCACATGGTCAGCTCAACGGATCCCCACGGCCGTTAATCTCGGTTTTCTAGACCGGAGCCGCTATTTCCTTCAAAGTGCTCCTCAATTATCCTGATGAGGCTGAATAGACCTCATTCCTAAGAAAATCTGGCAGCGCTGGGAATCGAACCCGGAACCTCTGGAACTCTGACCACTATACCACAGAGTCGGTCTCGCATACGTACTAGGGACAGGAAATACCATGACAGTGGTTGACTCCTTCGGGTCTAATTTTTTTACTCCTACAATAGCGTAATTCAAATGCGTTATATTTATTTTAATTATCGTTGTGTGCCTAGTGCTATAGCGACGGTAATGGGAGTGATTTTCTTTCACTGCTCTAGACATGCGGTGCTTCTGAACGGTTTCCTTCAAGATGCGACTAGAAGCGTTTCACCTGCTGGCGACCTTACACCACATTTACGCCATTGTACATCTACTGTCCGTGAACTACGCGGGCGCCACTGACTCGTTCGTTCTTGCCATGAGGGATTTGGGCTTACGGTACCTGACGACGTGGAACCTGGTAAGTAAGGCCCTCATATTACCACTACAACTAGAATCTGCCAATGACATGCACCTCTCTGGTAAGAGACATGTAAAAAGGTAAAGTTGTCCCTGTGCTCAAGTATTTAACCACTACGACTTTAGGACGTATAAGGGAGTGGATTTATAGATCCATATTTTCTTGAACTCGACACCAGTTGGAGGAGAGTGATCAGGTTCACACCCCTGCCGCTTTACCCCCCGGCGAAAGAGCCCCCGGTACCAATTGAATAGGAGGCTTGATGGGCCTCAGAGCCGGTCTGGACGTTGTGAAGAAAATTCTTGACTCTACCGGGAATCGAACTTCAAAGCCTCGGTCGTTCAGCCCGTAGCAAGTCGCTATACCGACTGCGCTATCCCGGCTCCTGGTAAGGGACATGTCCTCACAATTACTGACTTTTTGGAAATTATCTATTGTCCTATTCTCATTTGAAGAACAACATTTTGGAGAATTACGGGGTTCTTGGACTTTTCCATCGTCTGGAATTCTAGGAAATAGGAAACACGACGTTTCGGAAAGAGATCCAGTTCCCGAAACGTCGTGTTTCCTGTTTCCTAGAATTCCGGATGATGGAAAAAGTCCAAAAACCCAGTAATTCTATGTGTTATCCACCATCGTCAGAACCCTTTAGAATCTACATGCATTTTGGAGACTACACTATGTCTCCCTTCTCAGATAGAAGCCTACCCTGTTGGAACCAATCGAAAGAGCCAGACCATCTCTCCGGAAATGTTCTCACGTTTGTGTAACCATGACAAATCTAATAAACGAAAGTACAAGTAATTATGTTATATAGCGATTTGTAATCTGTATCCCTGGGCTCCGAACCATGTAAGTATGGTTCCATTCGCAAGCATAGTGAAGTGATTTTTCTTTCCACCATAAGGTCCATACCTGTTCTGGGGCCCACCCAGCCTCCTATACAGTGGGTACCGGGTGTAAAGCAGCAAGGGCGTAAGGCTGGCCTGTCTCACATCCATCTAGTGCATAGGGTAAGAATTGTGGAGCTATACCTCAACTCCTCCATACGTCAATGCGTGGCGCTTAATTAATTAAGTCCATGGATAACTTAATATCATTTATTATACGAGATGTTATCTGGTAGGTTCTTGTGCCTAATTCAATTTCTGCGTCTGTTTAGTTCTATGCACTTACAGTGCAAACCGTGATTTCGCCTCAGATATTTCCGTACTGCAAATTATAGCGGTTACTGAAAATTTCATTCTTGTTTGACTGGGTTCTGAAGTGCTAGAATTTATTGTAAGTTTATGGAACACTGAAACTTGGCTCAAATACCAACAGAGCGTGGATTTTCCTCAGGACACAATTCTTGCAGAAAAGTCACATCTTAAATGACAATTCTACGGTCACTTTCTAGAGAGCGAAGAAGAAGAAGAAAAAAGACTGTCTTATTTTCAAGCTACGTATTTGATCTCACAAGGATTTACATACTTGATCTCTTAAACGACAATTTATTTATACGTTACTTAAGGCTATACGGGTTGAAACCGTAAGGTGCTGACAAACTTTGTGCGTATGGAAACAAGAAAAAGTGTCCGGAAACATTTAATTTCTTAGTTATAACCTGAAGTAATGTAAGATCATGCTCCGGCCCATTTTAGCCATGCTGTGCGAGATGTTCTCAATTCATGGTCAATGGAGAGGCAGAGGAGGACCTTATCTGTGGGGACACCCTAGACCCCTTGTGTATGCAGCTCTTGTTGACAACGAAGAGACACCCCACCACAGCATTATGGATGCCTGTCAGGCTATCTGCAACTGGCCCGGCATCTCTGAACAGATGCGGCGGTCCATGATGAGACGTGTAGGGGCATGAATCGAATCTCATGGGGGTTATTTTGAGCACTGACTACAAATGTACTCTTTCAGTTATAATTCACAAACTAAATGCTTCCGGACACATGTTGATATGAACATTATTTCCTGTTCCACCAAACGTGGAACTCGTCCCAAAAGTTTACCCACACCTCTCAGTTATAATCTGTATACCAATTACATCGGCAGCGGCAGAGGCAGCGGCAGCGACGATGGTTGAGGCATTATGCTAGAAGCCGGAAGGTCGGGGGTTCAATCCCCGATGTTATTGGACTTTTTAATTCACCTAATGCTTCCGGCCACACTATGTTCCTTGGATTGACTCAGCCTCTAACAGAAATGAGTACCAGGAGGGCCGGAGCGTAAGGCCGCCATCTGTGAGCCGATTGTCTAGAAAATGTGGGAACCTCGACGTCTCACAACCCTATGGGCCTCCACTGCCTGTCACAGGGTTAACTTTATGTGTACCTTTACATCAAATATAACACACTGGCTCAGATCTGAGGATGATTACGGGCTTAATTTTGAAAGGAGATTGTGATCTGCCAGATGAATTCACTGAGAATTGGTCTGAAGGACTTGAAAAAAAATGCAGACATTGTTTGCCGGATTAGACGACTTCCAGATTTCAATCTCTTACGTCTAATTAGTAGTCAAGACTGATTATCTCCGAGTTAAACCTATGTTATTGATTTCAAACAGCCCTGAATCGGATGATATCAATACCGGTATTCCTTTTGAGGAATATATCGCTTATTTATATTTGTCTTGCAGCAGACAGATATACAGTCCATGTGTGTGTCTGTAACTGACAGTCAGGATGATTCTGAAACTGACAATAAAATCAGGAAAACAGCAAATATCTTCTGAAATAAGCGACTTTTCAAGGCAGAATACTTATGCAACTAGTTCAAGTTTAGGCATCAGTTGTGTACAGCATATTGCAAGACCCTCAAGGCTGTTCTCTGCATATTTTAAATAATGACCCTCGTTGTAACCCGGATAGGCCAGTTTATTGCATCACAAGATTGCGCAATAGGGAGAAAACTTCGTTGAATTTGTTGACGATAATGACTGGCTTCTCTTAAGTGGTGCATAATCTGAGTTAAATTTTCTCTTATTTCAGAATCAAGTGTTAATTACTGTTATCAATGAATTCATAATTGAATCATATTCTAAGCCAAATCAGTATACTTCACCTTTTTTGTAACTTATTTTTCTATGATTCGCTTTAATATTATCTTCTCATCTCCGCCTGAATGATCTCGATTCAAAGAGCTTACCAAATTATTTTTACCTTTATTTTTTTGTCAAATAATTGTTTATTGTTGGTAAATGCCAAAATATGTGTGACTAGCAGACGGCTTGCTTTCAGATAATGCAGAGCACGTACTTCGGGGCCTGCACTGGAGAGTATGTCCTGCGTGCCATGGCGAGGGACAGGTCCTCACAGTTCCTCAAGACGTGGCAGGAGCTGAGGGAGACAACCTTCCAGGCTCTTATATTTCCTATGGGACTGGTAAATGATATATTTTCTTATTTCTTATACTGCTATCTTATTTGCTTATTAATTTCTTGATAACATATTGTCGGTGAAAGATACAAAACTCCCTTTTGGAGAATCTCTGGTTCGATTCACAGTCTGATCTGGCTGTAGAATATTCTATGGCTGTTATTTCCGTTTCTATATTTTAACTGGATTCAGCGCAATTCAAAATTCGTTGCGTATGATAACGGTACCGTCTGTAACCGGAAACAGTTCAATGATTCTGCCTCAGTTAATGGGTCAGGCAACGAAAGCAACTGAAATCGTAATATATATTTATTTATCTCTCCGTTTCCTTTTCTTTTCTTTCATCTTGTTTCTCTTACGTCCTTCAAACAGATTGATAAGCTCCGAAATTCCAAATGTCTCCCTATCATTTTGTTATCATTTCTCTAACCCATTTGCATTTTTATCCACTTCTTATCTTTGTTTTCCCAAAAATTTCAAATACTTTAATGTTTCTATTTCAGTATAATGGTTTCCGTTAATTATTTTACAGATTTCCCAGCAAAACTAAAGAGTTTATTTCTGTTTCTTGTAATTGGGTTTTCTAGATGTTGCTAAAATCTTCATAATTCGATGAAGGTGTCTGCTATCTGTTACAAAACTACCGTATTTTTAAAGACCACAGGGCGAAACACATATGTACCGGAATTGTTAATGAAATGTGGTATAGAGTGCTCTGAAGTTGTGAAATATTTCATTTTAAACTTTTGTAGTTAGGACCTCTCTTTTAGATCTCTTATGATGGAAGGAATCACTCGTGCGTAATTAAAATTACGTGCCTACGTTAATTATTTTGATACTCTGTGAGATATTTTGTAAAATTACCTAGGTGACTATTTAATAACTTTTCAGATAAAATAATTACAGGCGTGGCATTGCATGTGATACCGCATAAAGTAATACAATAGGTAAGAAATATAATTTTCAATGTGATAGAAAGAAACTTTCCACATATGAGAGATGATTCTATGTTTTCATTACAAATTATATTTAAATTGAACTTAAGGAAACTTTAGTGTTTTCACTACACTCCATCTACTAAATGTTTTAAGCTTACAGACTTACTATAAAAAAGCAGTTTGAATCAGTCTGCGTTATACGTTGTGAAGACAATCTTACAGAAGGAAAGTCTCCTGTAAGCAAGTTTGAATTTTTCACCGGCGTGTGAATACCGGAAGATGCTGAAAATAAAATCTAGTAAATTTGTCATGGCGACGTGACGCTCTGCGTCGCCAAGTGATGATGATACATCCTCTCGTTCCAACAGCAGATCGAATATACCAAGTAGAAAATCAAGTACGAAAGTAACAACCATCCCTGTCGAAACCTTCATAAAACTAAATTTATAAGAGTTTGGAAATTGGTACATCTTCTCAATTCATATAGAAATCTGTTCTCGCTTAAGGAACTCTTCACGTACGTTTTTGACCTCCTCTGTGGTCTATTGGTCAGAGTTCCTGGCTACAGATCCAGAGGTCCCGGGTTCGATTCCCGGCGCCACCAGATTTTCTGAGAAGTAATGTGTCTGGAATAGGTCCCCTCAGCCTCGTGAGGATAATTGAGGAGCTATTTCAAGGAAATAGCCGCTTCGGTCTAGAAAATCGAGATTAACTGCCTTGGGAATCCGTTGCGTTGACCACGTGACACCCTCAATCCGCTAAATTTGGCACTAAATTCGCCGACAAGTTTCGGTCGCTCGGTCGGTATGGTTCACTTGCGGACTAAAACCACGGAGTTTGTTCTTATTTTCTTTTGTTTTACGTACGTTTATATCACGCGACGAATGACAGTAAACCCATATTAGTTGCTAATAATTCTAAGCTGAATACATGCTTGACTCACCATTGTTGACAATTGCAGGTTGTGTTCTCAGTGTTCTGGACGTTGTACAAATACGATCGAAGTCTGGTGTACCCTGAGATCGTAGACGAGTACGTGGCGCCTCACGTGAACCACATGATGCATACCAACGTGGGTGTGGTCGTGGGCCTGGAGATTCTCCTCAGGCCACATTACTACTGCAACAGGAACAGACACCTCGCGATGCTGCGGTTCTTCTCCTGCACCTACCTCACCTGGTCAGTAGAAAATAGCGCGTCATAATTAGAGATAATAAATTGCTGGGGCTTTTGTTATGGCTCTGGTGAACCTTCGAGTTCCATACAAACCGAGGTCATCCTGTATCGCCAACGCGAGATACAAATTTCAAATATTGACTCAGCGACCAGCTGTCTCTACAAGATACTTGTGATTTTTCGTACTTCCTCCGGATAAACTATGGTATTTTATGTCCATGGTTTATGCTGACCGTCTTACAGTGTATACACTTTTTCACCTTATTCTTCACTTCCACACTACATGTTTCAGCACTAATGTGCCATCCTCAGGTGTCTTTATGCACGTTAAACTATTGTACTGCATGCCATGATGTCTTCATTCTAAAATGACTAAAATCTGTATTCGTCATATATGTCGATGAATTCTAAATAATAAAACTTTTCAGGATTCTTCCTACGTCGCACTCAAACACGCATAAAGACACCTAAAGATGGCACATTAGTGCTGAAACATGTAGTGTGGAAGTGAAGAATAAGGTGAAAAAGTGTATACACTGTAAGACGGTCAGCATAAACCATGGACATGAATCAGTGTAACAGGACGCTAAAATATAACATGGTATTTTATCTTAAATAGGCCACGACTACATTCTTGGACATTATTTATAATTTACAGTCCAATATTATCCTTTAATTCAAATCTACATAAAGAGTGCAGTTGAGAATGGGTTGTTAAACAATCAACAAACAAGGAATTTCCTGTTCTGCTATATTAGCCCTACTCTTGGTACTGAACTCAAGAAATCTACGTCCAATCCTAACGTCTTCTATTTCAATTATCTTCTAAGATGTGCTCATTTGGTTACTGTTCTAATTTCGGTCATTTTTTTTAGGAAACGGCTCTAAAGTTTATACAAACAAACAAAACAAACTCCGTAGTCTGTAGTCCGCAAGAGAACAATACCGACCGAGCGACCGCCCCTTGTTGGCGAAGTTAGTGCCAAATTTTGCGGATAGAGGGTGTAACGTGGTCAGCGCAACGGATCCTCACCGCTTTTAATTTAGGTTTTCTAGACCGAAGCCGCTATTTCCTTGAAATAGCTTCTCAATTATCCTCACGAGGCTGAGTGAACCCCGTTCCAGACCCACTACTTCTCAGAAAATCTGGTAGGGCCGGGAATGGAACCCAAGACCGCTGGATCTGCAGGCAGGAACTCCAAACAATTTAGTGTAGCGATCAAGCCCTACATTAGTTTCGCAGGTATACTGGGTTACAACCTCGTTCGGGTTTTCTTGACTAATTTTCCGAAGTCTTCCTTTTCCAGGAGAATGTCAGAACACAAACTTGTTTTGTCACTGATGTTACATTCAAAAACCTCCACTGATGGACATTTTTTATCCAAGTCTACGCTATATAAGTTCTGAAACTGAAAGAGCGTCTTTCGTTAAGTAATCTTTGTTACTTCTATTCTCACAGCTGGTTTGCGGCTTGGTTAAGTTTATTGCAAGATCTTATCACAGACGTCTGCCATTAGAACTCAAAGGTTACACCATGGTATCTCGTAAAATTCATCGCGCATGCGCTCTCTACAAAGCATTATGCTTCAATTTGCGGTCTAACCCTATAGTACAATATTATATTTAAGCATCCTGTTGCACTCCATACGATAAATGATATAAACTCCGTCTCAAGTGCAACCAATATATTTTTGTGTCTTTGATCTTGCTCCCTACACTACATGTACAATATGTACTATAGTACAATATTAACCGTATATAATTACTTGTCTCTCCTTGTACAATAAAATGTTACTAAACAGGTTCATTCACACAAACGGCACGTTTAGTCGATACGATATGGGTGGGAAATTAAGAAATGTCATCCATGTAAAATTTAAATTCATTTAAAGTGTCCTGTGTAAAAAAAAAGGACACAGAAAGCTGCAAACAACTGAGGTAAACCCTTCCAATACTAAGGACGAGCTAGAAATATTCAACTTATTACTTTATTCTGCTTTGAGGTTGCAAGGTTTACTAACATTATCAATGAAATGAAAGTGTCACGTTAAAAATCACGACCTAATTATTTGTGGTGTATCAGTCATGGAAACTTTTAATTACTATAGAGAAATAAAAAGGGTTTTTTTGTTTTATTTTCTAATTTTCTGAATTTAGAATGTTATCTAAATTGAAATTAAAATTGCAGTTGCTACCTCATATAAAACTCACTGCGGCTCCATTACAAAGATTAATCGATTAATGTTGTTCAAAGAAATACTCTTTGCCTCTTCTGAGAAATGTACATTCATTTGTTAAAGAAGTCAACATTGAAAAGGTCAAATCGTCAGATCCCCAGCTAGTTCAACTGTGTACTGTTGCAGCTATTTCTACACGTACTGGTCCCAAGGAATTTGGCTGTATCCGCTCTACCAACATCTTAGCTGGACCCAGCGGATAGTGACGAGCATTCTTATCACGTTCATTGTACCCAGCGCCTGCTATCTGCTGGGAGAGGTGATCGCCAATGCGCTATGGGGTGAGACATTCCCTTGCCATGCAAGGGCAGTGAAAATGAAAGCATTGGATATAATTAAAAATAATCTTAGTAAAATATCATCATTGGCAAAACAGCCCTTTTTGAGCCATAGCCTTCCTTAGAAGATTATTCCAGGTTGTATTAGGTTTTCACTTCTTGCACAATATTTCTTTACATCGCAAGGTCGTCAGCCTTGCATCCAACCCCAAACCTGGAGAACCAGGTCTCTGTATTTACGTCCTCCAGTGACAGGGTGGTTCAGTTATACCCCCAGGCACCGGGTTTCATTTTCGTCGTCTTGTACGATTCGCAGGGCTAGTCCGCCTCCACACGAGGTTTCGGTGAAACATAATTTACGGATATTTTAAAGTATACACCGACAATTCCAAGACAATTTTTTCCATCGTGAAACTAGAATTAAACTTCTGATTATGATCTTCCGAGTTTCAACACCGTGTAATTATTTTAGGTGGTTGCCAATGGTTCGGAGTAGTAAGCGGTTTCCAACTTAAAATCTCGTATAAAAGTAAACTGCCTTACTCTGAAGTTCTGCTACCTACGGGAACAGAGTTGAAGCACCCGGCTTAGGATTAAGGCTGTGATACTAAGCTAACTGACAGGGCCTATCACACGCCTCTGGAGATTATGGTCGAACATAATTTTTTTCATCGCTAGTGTGGTGGGACTAAGTCTCTTGTACTGCGGCCACTTCTGGCCTATTGTACCAGCCCCAGATGACAGG